TACCATGCCTTGCCCTCAGTTGTCGGAGCAATGTAGCCGACGCGGATAACGAAATCTCCAAAGCGCTCACCGTCATGGCGCTCGAGCGCGTAGCGCTTGATCATGGGCCTGAGGATCGCGAGGATCTCCGGCTCCGTTACACTCTCTGTTGCAGACGTGTCGGGGGTGAGGGCAAGCTAGATTTAGAAGGAACGTACCTCGGTATATTTTGTTTAGCCGTTGACCGTAGTAGCCGCCACCGAGGAGCATCAAATACGTGCCGGGCGCCTTGCCGACGAACGCAACTTCTGCCAGGTATGGTCGTGCACAACCGTTCGGACAGCCGGTCATGCGCATGACGATCGAATCATTGCGCAAACCGTTCTCCTCCATAATTTTCTCGACTTTGTCGATGAGCATCGGAAGGTACTGCGGCGAGCCTATCAGCGCATACTCAGACAGACGTAAGACAAAACGTACACGCTCCGACTCGGCCATAGCAAGACCGCATGTCGGGAACGCGACACATGCCGAGGATGATAGCCGCAGGCCCGTAAAGTTGATATTGTCGAGCTTGTACTTCGCCAAAAGCCGCTTTATCTCAGGCAAGTCCTCGTTTGCAACCTCGGTTATGATTATGTGTTGATTTGCCGTGAGCCGGAAGTTGCCCTTGTGCACCTTCGCAATCTCGCGGAAAGCCGTCTTGAACTCGCGAGAGGGCTCGTCTTGCACACGTCCGTTTTCAACGAATGTCGTGAAGTAATGCTTGCCATCGGCACCCGTTTGCCAGCCATAGTCGTCTACATTGCGATCGAACTGGAAGCCGCGTGCAGGCTCAAACTCGAAACCAAGTAGCTTCTCAACTTCGGCTTTGAAGACGTCGAGGCCCATACGGTCAATTGTGTACTTCAAACGCGCATTCTTGCGACTACGGTAATCGCATTAGCATATATTGGGCAACGAAACGATGTGAATCGCACTCGACGCGGTTGCCATTGTCCCTCTGAACAAGCATGATCTTCTCAGCGACGATGACACCCTTGTCTGGCGTGACAAAACCAAGAATACTGCCCGTGCGCGGGTACGTCTTCTTGTTACCGTGCGTGACGCCCATACCGCCACCCGCGGTCACATTGAAACCCGCGAGCTCGCCTTGGTCGTCCATGATGGCTATGAAGCCGACATCATTCGCGAAGACATCAACATCATTCGTGGGCGGGACGGCGACGGCGACTTTGAACTGGTATGAATGTCAGCGGGCTAGACTCACGATGAAAGGAGTATAAGCAGATACCTTGCGAGGAAGGTAGAACTCGCCGTACAGGGGCTCACGATCACGAAGGACCTCCCCGGCGACAAGCTTCTTGTCGAGCCAAATTTCGTGATAAGCGGACGTGCGCGGAAGTAGGTGTTCACTCGTCGCTTTGGCAAATGCATAGACTTGCTCATGCAGCTTCGATAAGGACGGGATAGCTGAGACGAGGACATTACTGAACATGAGTCAGCACGGCATTTGCAGGCGAAGACGGCAGACATACCGGTTTACGTCACCACACGCGGCGAGGGTATCCATGAGCGCACGGTTGATTTCCCGAATCGCAGGTTTGAGGTGCCGCTTGATGACACCATGGAACTGGAATGTCTGGCGAGTGGTGATCTTGAAGTGGCCCGCGCCGTGCTCATCCGCGATCTGGTCCACTGCAAGCCATTGCCTCGGCGTACACACACCGCCCGGTAGACGCACGCGGATCATGAACGAGTACGCGGGCTCGACCCCCTGTGCGGTGCGCTCGTCACGGATATCGCGGTCGTCCTGCTGGTAAATGCCGTGGAACTTCGTTAATTGCGTGTCCGATACCGCAAGCGCGCCAGTTGTATGATCTTCAAGTCCTTCAGCAATCGTGCCGCGTAAGTATGCCGAAGCAGCTTTGATGTGTTCGTTCGTGATCGGCTCTGGCTCCGCCTCCTGCACCTCGACCGCATCGACACCGAATGCCTTCCACACCTTCGGTTCCCACACCTTGTAGCCCGTCTCAGCGCCGTCTGCGTCCTGGTCGTCGCCAAGCCCGAGGTCTGCGAAGCGCTCGCCACCAAGCTGCGCCAGCCGTGCATCAAGATCCTTCGAGGGCTTGTTGTAAAAGTGCGCGTCCTCCGCACGAGGCCAGTAGTGGCTGTCGCCCATGCCGAATACAGAGTATTTCAAGCTTGTCAAAGGCTTCTCGCCCTTGGCAATCGTCACGCTGAGCGCCTTGAAGAACGAGCGTCCGTTCTGTGGTGGTTCGCCTTGCCCGGCGGTCGAAGTGATGAAGATGACATGCTCCTCCCTCGAGACGGTGTCAAGCCCGAACGCGTCCATCGTCGACAGTGTCGTCGAAAGCCCGCGAGCCTGCGCACGCCCTGCGAGCCGTTTTGCCTTCTTCTCCGCTGCGCCACCGTCGGACGCGTAAAGAATTGTGACGGGTGGCGCGTCGATGCCAGTGAGGAGGTCCGCGTATGCCTTCTGAGCACGGGACTTGCGTGCCGCCTTGACTGTCTCGCCAAATGAGCTGACAACCTCCGCCGCGAGTTGCGGCGTCGTCCGCGTTAGTTGCGAGAGGTGATTCTGGCGGTCGAGGAACGTCTGTAGCTCGCGCTTAACAGCGTCCGAGTCGAGCGCGAAGGGTTCGAGACCATGCGCCTCCTTTGTCGGGTCCCAGCGGTAGAGGGGCCAATACCCCGTGTCAACAGCGTTCTTCGTCTCCTTGAGCAATGTCAAGGCTGGGGTGTCTTCCGTCGCGTAGGGAAGGTAAGCAAGCACGACGGACGGGCCGTTGTAGCGGTCGGCCTCGACGAGGGCCTGTAGGACCTGGCCGTAGGATGAATAGATGGCGACACTCGCGACGTAAACATCGCCGTGGTTCATCGCATATAAGCCGACATCCTGTTTCCGCCGCTCGGCGGCGGCGTTGCGCGCAGAATACGGAGTCGTGTCGAGGAGGAGCACGTTAATGTTTAGGCCGGAGGTGATCGCGTGGTGCAAGCCAGACGCGCCGATGTCGTAGGACCAAGCATCGGAGCCGATTATCCAGCGGGAGGGGGCGGAGAGGTGTGTGCGAAGGGCGAGGACGTGAGAGGCTGCCTCGTGAGAGACGGCGCCAGATTCGAGCGCGGCAACAATCTTGTCACCTAGCTGACGGCTCTTCACGCCATCATCCTTCGCCAGGAGCCAGCCGCTAAAGAGGGAATGTAGGTCTTGGGGGAGCTTCGCGGTCTGGAGCAGCCGCTCTACCGTGGTGACAAGCGCCTCGCGTTGCCGAATATCGCCCCGTATCCGCCCGAGAGCGAACTCAGGAGAAGTTGCAAGCGCGCCCTGCGTCGAAACCAGCTCGGGTGCGTTCACAATCTGCAGGCGATCGCCGAAAAGATGAGTAAGAATCTTTGAGTACGATGCCTCGTGCTTGGGGACGTGAGGTGTCCTGGCTCCGGTCGGTCCCGAAGAAGGTGTGATGCCTAGCTGCAGGCGAGTGGAGGGGGGCCGGGAGAGAAGCTGGGAAAAATCGGCTTCTGTGAGGTGGGAGGTGTCGCCAAGGTAGACACTCGTGACCGTCGGACGGACTTCCGTTTCCCTCCGCTGCAGAGCGCTAACGACATCTAGAAATACTGGCGTCCATTTCATCGACCATCGTTGAATCTGTTCACAAACGAAGATGCGAGAGGTGGAAGGGCCAATGGAAGCGAGCACGTCAGAGATTGGGAAGGGTGAAGCGAGCGACAAGTCGACAAATGCAGCTCCAGGAACGTCTAGGGTGATGTGCGAGCGCCCAAGAGTAAAGATAATTGTTTCGGGAGCGGGGTCCCCGCGCTTGCTAAGAGCATGCTGTGGCCGCCGGAGGAGTGTAGCGGTAGCATGACTTGCTGTCTCGTATGCTTTGATGAGAACGCCTGAAGTGTCGGTTACGGGAGAAACGGGAGATGACTTGTGTTGGGCTGAAGAACCGTTGGTGTGGCCATTGGTGTGCCCGTTGGCGTGGCCGTTCGCATAACCGTTCGCATGACCGTTGGTGACTGGAACAGCAGGTTTCTCAGCAAGCAGAAATGGTTTGACTTGATCTTCCGCTACCTCCTCTACACTCTCGTCCGGCGAACCAAGGTGGAAGACGTGTAAAACGACTTTTGACTCCGTGCGGGCGAGGCGGGAAGCAAGGAGGGCATTGTCATGTGCCTTCTGAGCGGAGGGCGAGTGTATGAAGAAGGGGACGGCAGCGCGAAGGACAATAGCATCCGACAGATCCTTGTCTGCCGCGACATGGATGACGATCGGCCGGGAAGACAACTCAGGGAGGTGGGGAAGAAGGCGCGAGAGGGCCTGGGAGGCGTCTGTAGTGTAGGAAGTGAGGCGGGCGTCGACCGTATGGAGAAGCGTTGCGCCTGCGTCGGCACCAGCCGGGAGACTCGTTACGGACGACGCGCCGATGCTCGAGGTTGGACGCGATGCCCAGTAAGGCGAGAAAGCCGAAGCGGAATCGACGATGGTGTCCGAGGCAAAGTAAGCGACTCGGGCGACAGCAGCGACGGCGGGTGTTAAGGCCATCTGAAAATCGGCGTTCAGTGACAGAAATCGTGTCAAGTCGGCGAAGGAAGCGCGCCTTCTGGACTGTGAATGTGTCGTCTGGTAGGAAGAAGACGGAGAGGACGTGAGGACAGCTAGCGGATGTCGAACGGCCGGCATAAATCTACTTGAAGTATTCCGAATTGAAAGTTATGAGCACCAAGCACATCATCCTCTCGTCTTGGTTCCGCTCCGGGCCCCCGGAACGGTCGCGTGTCTGTCGCTCCGCGCGCTCCGAGCCAATCCGCACATTTTCGTTGGTTGGCGGCAGGTCGGCGATTTATTCCCGTGTTCGCCAGCTTTTGGGAGACTATTTGTATTGAAATGAGGCTGTGATGCCTTGGGGTTCCCTCAGTAGGACAGAACGTACTTCGTGCCTTTGTCGCCATCAGTCGGCAAGCATATGGATGCATTCTACTAATATTAATTGTCTGACTCTGTAGCTCAGTGGTTAGAGCATGCGATTGCAGATCGCGGGGTCCCGTGTTCAAATCACGGCAGGGTCTGAGTTCTCTTTTCCTTAGCTTCAGCACGGATAAGATCAGACCAAGCTCTCCGCCACGCATTGCATTTGGATCAAACGGTAATATTGTTCGCTGTACCACCCTCGGGTGGTTTGCCCCCCATGTATTCAGAGATAATCGCTTCTTTGGTAAGCTTTCTACATGACAGGGTGGATACACCCAGTATCATGCTACCCACGACCTGCACTCACAAAAGCATTAAATGCTTATGTGGACACGGTGTACTGTAGTCCGGACCGACGCTGCAGGCCCATGTTAAATATTGAAGGCAGACGAAGCCAGCGGAGGGTCCTATTCTCAAGGGAAAAGTTTAAACAGTCGTGAAGTTGTGTCGTATACGTAACTTTAGTCTTGTTGTGAGAACGATTGTACGTGTAGTCGCGAACATGTCCGCCCATATTGCCTTGCAGCTGAAAGCCCACCTCCACTGCGTCCGGCACTCGCACCTTTAGCTCAAAATTGCAGCTCAGAACAAACCGCGAGCATATCACAGCAAAGCCTTGCCAAAGTGATCATGTTCGAGACCCTGTTGCGGATGTCATCGTTATGATTGACCGATCCTCTAGACGTACATTGCGAAAGAACAGAAAGGAGAATGCCGATTCATACCTTTCCAATCGCAGCCGTCTTCTCCGCGACGACCTCCTTCAGCGCGTTGACGATTCGGTCGACGTCGTCGCGAGCATTGTCGACAGCGGTGATACCCATGTGCCTGAGCAAGATCAGGTGGATCCTGTGAGCGAACGTTCCATAACAGGTGGACAAAGGTAGGTATACCCTATGCGGAAGTAGGTGTCTTTGCGTGTTCCGAGACCGCCGGCGATAATCACGCCCTTCGCAGCGAGGGCGGGTGCGAGCTCGGAAGACTTGACACCTTCGGGGCAGTACAGCTGGGGAGCACAGGCAATCAGACAACGATAAACGGGCGGCAGGGAAGGGGCATACCGCGGTCATGCCGTTTGCAGCGTTGACCGGGTCCGCAGGCACCTGCTTGAGCCCAATCTCCTCCGCAGCTGCCTTAATACGTGCACTTGTCTCCTTGTGTCGCTGCAGACGCGCCTCTAGAGAGCCGGGAGCGTTCAGGATCTGGGAGAGAGCCGCGTGGAAGGCGTAAATAAGGTTGACAGGTGGCGTGGCAAAGTATGCCGCAGTGCCCTTCTCGTAGGCCTGCATGATGGGTAGCCACCTAGGCGAAGAGATGGTTATTTCAAGCACAAGAATTGTTTGAAAGTGACGAACCGCTTCCAGCTCGCGTAGTAAGTGGGGATGGGGGTCGTACGCGCGTTGAATGCAGCAATCGCCTTCTGGCTAGCGACAAGGATGCTCAGACCAGGTGGTGCGCCGATACCCTTCTGGCTCGCGGAGAGAACCACATCGATACCCCACTCCTCCATATGGATGTCCTCGCTCGCGACAGCGCAGACAGAGTCGAGAATGACGAGCGTGTCGGGTGAATGCTTCTGTACTAAGTCGGCGATGGGCTTTGGGTGCGTTAGGACAGCTACGCGTTGTTAGCTGCGTGAAGGAACAGTGGCCGGAAGTGAGCTTGCCTGTTGAAGTGTCTACGTGAGTAATAGTGACAGCCTTGTACCTCTTCGATGAGAGAGCTTTCTCGACCTCAGCAAGATCCACGGTTGTGCCAAAGTCGGCGTAAATCTGGTCAACCTGGGCGCCATACGTGGCCAGACTGGTAGACAATCGTAATCAGGAAGCTGGTAGGAATGGGGATATCGCATAGATACGTGCCAATCGGCAAAGCTGTCACCGAAGTAGCCAGTGTTGAGAACGAGCACGCTCTCGCCTTGTTGAACAAGGTTCGCAGACACCTGCGTAAAGCCAGACAGCAGCACCCACTAAGCCGCCGAGCAGAAAGGTAGCGGGGCGCCGCGAGCTCACCTGGTCCCATCCCAATGTGCCCGAGCCCGAAATGAGGAACGGTTGTCCCGTTTTAGTGAGTAGGACATCCCTGACAAGTAGGAACGCTAAGCATACGATGCAAGAGTAATTGATGGGAAGACGCGCCGCGTCATGCGAATGCTGTCGCCAAAGATCTTGGTAAAGTCCGCGGACATGTGTGACATCGAGGGGTGTGCATTGGCGAAAAGAACCTGAGGAACGGTGAGAACGGCGTACCCAGCCGCTTTCGGGAGAGTAAACAGACCTCATCGCTGACTTCGATGGGTCCCGGGATTCTGAAGCGCGTTTGAGGATGCGGGAGAGGAGGAAGTAACAGACACGTACACCAATAGTCTGTATGTGACAGACGCTAGTTAGCAGCCGAGATATAGCATAGCCGCTCTTAACCGAGCGGTTCACAGCGATGTAGGCCGTGGACTCACTGGTGGGGAGCCTAAATCGGACAATCAGTAACCGAGACAAGGGAGGGGAGAAGGCCTGGAGGCGCTGAGGCTGCGGACTGCCACGGACCTGCTTGAACGTTAACCGTGATATATTGGACATGTTGCGCCTTGTGCTCGACCAGGAAGGAAGAGAAGGTATGCGGGCGAGCAAAGAGGTAGGACGCAGGCAAAACCACCTGGCGAACGACCGGATTAACATGATCTGCTCGTCTCCGCGGGTCGGGCTTCCGTCGTCCGCTTTCGCCATCGGCCACAGCTGGTCACTCGTTTCTCCCCTCGTCTTACACACTTCTCCCTTTATACGCTCTCAACCCTTGTTCAAATTTCACGGTAGCCACAGCACCTTTTCCACATGGGAATTCCCTCGGAATCGCCTCCCCTTTTGCCCCGCCCTTCCCCTCTAGCGCCAGTGCAAGGCGGCGGCAACGGAACGCCGTCATCGATCCATCGCTTGCGCTCTCCCGCCTCCGGATAAATCGAATCTAGCAGTCTGACAACCAACTTAAATAGCAGCGCAGACCAGTCACGTTCTTGCATATTCGTCCTCCCTTTTCCCTCGTCCCTCAAAGACGCTGCATCCGTGCGCCATCGAGCTTATGCGATGACCCTAAGCCGCCCAGGCTGCTGTTCCACGTCTTTGGCCCCTCTTCGCCTTTCCTTCCGTCCTCGCCCCTTCACCTCCACCTGTCCACCAACCCTCAAAACCATCTGCACACAGCCCGCATTTGCATCCCGTCATACACCGCAAGCCTTGAAGAGTAACGATCTCTCACTGCAGCTGTATAGCTAGATTGTAGAACCTCTAAAACCGCAGATCGCACCAGCACACGAACCCGTTTGTGTTTGACAATGCTCGGGATAGGATATAGGGTGAAGATCCTTGTGGACAGGGGGATTTTGAAGGCGACTAGCGCGGTAGAGGCACACACGCCATAGACCGCATCAGCTGGCTTTCCTGAAGCAACGAGTTCGTTTAGGAGCTCACTGAGTGCGAGACTACTATCATTAATCATGCTAAGTCCATGTTTTGCACGGTGCAGTTTGCAGCGATGCGAGTAAGTTCCCGACGAGCGGGACTATCGGGAGCGCCGGGCACCGCGGACTGCGCTCGTGCGGTTAGTGCTTCAACCCCCATCTTCAGGCCGTTAAGGCGGTAAGCCTCGACCGAGCGCTAGGGCGGTCTGGGCACTTGAAGGGCGTAGATCGTCTTGCTGAAAATAAGCAAGAGTTGCATAGCAACCTGAAAGAGGTTACCAGATCCTGAGAAGCCCTACAGACGGCCGCCGCTCGTCGAGTGGGGCCCTAGATGGTGGCATAAATCGGTCGAATGCTGTTCATCGGTTCCTGAGGGGACATCTGGTATCAACATGTGCCTCTACTGCAGAGGAGGATACCAAGACTCACCCTAGGTAGTATATTGACGCCAATCTATCGTCAAGCTGCCTCGTGAGACGATGAGGGAGTTTGCATGTAGCACACGGGAAATAGGGTCGCGCAGACGCTGAAAAGAGCACCGTATGCAAGATATGCGTTCGGGGAGGGAGGGCGCTGCTGTATAACACCGTCCTCTAACGCCCATCTTGCTCGTAGAATCTAGGGTGGGATATATTATGACACTTCGTCACGGGGGTCTGAAAACCTGTGTAGGGGCGGCCTTGGGCGGGAGGACGATGCCAATTCCCGGCCAGAGTACTTCAGAGATTAAATGGTAAGATGCATAGACGAGGCTATCCGAGAGCAAAGAGACAGCAAGGAGCGAATAATCGTAATTCCTGGATACGCCTCCGTATCATCGACCATTGACGGACCCGCGTAGGGACGATGTGAGAGGCTCAGGCTCCTGCGAGCTTGCGCCCGCGAAACTTGCGACGGTCTTCTGCAGGTCATTCCACTCGGTCTCGCGAGGGATCGCCATGTCACCGATGTCGTATACATGCAGCCGACCCTCGGACCCACCCATCGCAACACGCCGTCCATCCTTGTGGTCCCAGCGCATCTTGTTCAGAGCGTGGCCCTCGCTTACAGCCGTGCGAACCGCCGGAACCTGCGGTGTCGTCAGATAGGATTATGAGTGGAAGAGGGATAGAGGCGGACCTCCGTGTCGATGTTCAGATTCCAGAGGTCAAACTTGCCCGAGCCGTCAACGGCGCCGAAGACGGCGGGATGCGTCGGATGCCATTTAACATCATACACATAATCATCTGCTTCATCGAACGAGTAAAGCGGCGGCACAGCCGTCGGCGCACCGCCTGTCGATGGCTTCGTGTTTGTAAGGCCCCGAGCACGCCAGAGCTTGACGGTCCAATCGACAGAACAAGAGAGGAAGAGATCAGAGAAATCGACCGGTCCATCGGCGGGATGGAAGTGCAGTCCCGTAACAGGCCCAGCGTGTGCGCGGTATACGTCATGCGCGTTCAAGCCTGCCTTGGCGCCTGCACGGTCGTGCCGATTCGCCTGGTACAGGTTTCCCTCCTCGGTACCGATCCAAAACGTGCTCGTCTCGTTGTCGGGGAAATCGAGCGCGGTGATCGCGACCTCGCCCGTCTTGTTGTGGCCTGCGTGGACAAGCTCGAGCGTCTCCTGCGGCTGCGCAAGCATATCGACGAGCCAGGAGCAGACCAG